CATTTTAAAGTTAGGATAATATAATTGACATTGTGGATTCCTTGTAAGACCAGGAATATTTGAATATAAATGTCATATTTTTTGCACAAAAGATAACATATTTACTCAGAGAAAACATTTTATCTTAAAATTTGTATGTCTAATGCAAAATATATGATGTTTATATTCAAAATGATCACCAAATTATAAGAATTCCAGCAATGTAAATTATATTCTGGCCGGTAATTTGTATGAATTTTATGAGCTAAAACAGGCAGTCAGGCAGGGTGGCGGTGGGCAAATCCAAAAATAGCGTCGAGCCGACACTCACCGCGTATGTGGAAAAAATCCGTGTTAAGGAAAAGTTCGCTTGGCGCAGGCACCGCCGTGATAAGGAAAACGTAAAGCAGTGAAACCGCTAAGAAGCGGTAATGTATAGGTATATATAGTGAACCCGCTTACGCGGTTTCACTTTACGCTGCTTTCTACATTTACGCCGGTACCCCTGCCAGAACCGAATTCCCACTTTACGCGTGCATCTACTCATATACGCAGGTGAAGTATAATTTTTTATTAAGCTCATAAAATTCATACAAATTAATCCGCCAGAATATAATTTACATTGCTGGAATTCTTACAATTTGATGATCATTTTGAATATAAGCATCATAGATTTGCATTAGACATACAACTTTAGATCTAATGCAAGTATTTTGTTTACTCAGAGCAAATATGTTATCTTTGTGCAAATATAAAGTATATTCAAATATTCCTGGTCTTACAAGGAACCAGCAATGTCAATTATATTATCCTAACTTTAGTCTGAGGTATTATTTATTACTAAAATGTAAATATACTGTTATAACCCAATCATTTCTCTGGTAGGGAGGGAGAGGGAACCCAGGAGCAGGTGGGAAGAGGGGGAGGTGGGGTATTGATTGACAGATAGTATTTTCGGTAAGTATATTTTGTTTATTTATTGAAGATATTTGTTTTATTTCAAAATTCATACAAATTACGGCCAGAATTTAATTTACATTGCTGGAATTCTTACAATTTGATGATCATTTTGAATATAAACATCATAGATTTTGCAGTGTACAAATTTTAGATCTACTTAAGTATTTTGTTTACTCTGAGTAAATATGTTATCTTTTGCAAAATATATGACATTTATTCAAATATTCCTGGTCTTACAAGGAATCCAGCAATGTCAATTATATTATCTCAACTTTAGTTTGAGGTATTATTTATTACTATACTCCAAAATCTAGTGGTTTTCCCCCAAACATTTCTCAAAAGGGAAGAGCCAAATAGTAGTGTGAGAAGAGGGGAGGAGTTGAGTCCATTATTTGAATGGACATTAACCTGGCGACTGTATTTCTCTATTTCTCTTAAGTATTAATTTGTATGTACCATCATAAATTTAGATGCTATTTTAACAGAATATATATATATATATATATATATATATATATATATATAATATATATATATATATATATATATATATATATATATATATATATATATATATATATATATATATATATGTATTATATATATGTATTATGTATGTATGTATGTATGTATGTATATATATATATATATATATATATATATATATATATATATATATATATATATATATATATATATATATATATATATATATATATATATATATATATATATATATATATATATATATATATATATATATATAAAAAATTAAGATGTCATTTTACTAAAACGTACGTATTGTGTCGGGAAAAAGTGGAGTTTGGGGGGTCGGCCCGGTCTCTATTTCAATTAATCCCATATGTTATGTTGTTCACTTTACGAGGGCCGCCGTGGGTTCAATTGACCGCGTAAAGTGAGGCTTCACTGTATATACAAACGAAAATTTTGTCAGTACACAGCGCAATCACTGATGTTGGGACTCGAGAATATGTAATTTGACAAAATTTGGATACAACTGAGGCGGTCGTATGTCCGGGTGGTCATAAGTAGAGTAGTCGTAAGTCAGGGAGTAGCTGTATTTACCCAATAGGTTCATTTGGTGCTGGGTTAAGCATGACAATGATATTGAGAGAGAAAAAACAAAACTATACTGTAAAATAAATATAAGATTGGTGCATTGTGCATTCATACAATAAGCAAGTTTTCGGCTGAAAATTTTTTTCATGGGAAAGCATCTCCCATTAAATAATGCAATTCAATAGGAAAATAGAGTTCACTACATGGAAATTTGTTTTATGTCAAACTTTTTAGCAACGTAACTCTTCTCTAAATCGAGGAATACCTGTAGAATGCTGTATATACAGTACAGTATATGCTATATAATATCTCCGTTAGCTGGAATCTTCGATCTCTGGAACTCTCCATGAAAATCTCCATTCTGGGCATGGGAAAGAATTTCTGGGGATTGCATCAAGAGTATTCCCAATGTGAGACGCAGAGGTGGGCAGGCTCAGTGCTCATGAACTACGATTGGCCACTGCTGTCATGTGACTGCATGGGATGTCTATGATTGGTTGATGTATCTTATAACCTACCTCCTCAAGCTCTTGCATCATGACACTCTTATTTCAATGTCTGCTGCCATTGTACAAGCTTGTTCACTTGCTCACCACTGTTTTCACATATGATCAATGTTGTCCAGTACTGTACATTACTATTCCAGCACATAATTTTGGCCAAGATTACCATTAAAGCAGTGTTATAAGTAAAAACTGATTACAGTAGCATATACAGTACTGTATTCTACATAACAGGGTGGACTGTGTATGCTAGTATGTAGATGGTGTATGTACAGTATACAATGTATGTACAATCCTCCTGCTACTGGAGATGGTACAGGACAAAGGCAGGCCATCCTGTATCATATCACCATTTGGCCTGCCTGCATCATAAGCTCAAGATGACAGCATCTGCTGGTGAATACAGCATAGGGTATACAATATTGTAGAATATTTTATCTATTTACAAAATACTGTACTGTACAATATTGTACATGTACAATCAAAGACATATGTCAAGGCTTTTGTCTGAAAATTAAATATAACTCGTGAAACATTATGAGAGCCCTACCACAACGCAGAGCTGCCAAAAGTTTAGCCCTTCGGCATATGTTTCACCAAATTTCACGACACAACTTTTGTCTTTCATTGTACACTGGTGTAAATAAATACAGCTGTGTCTGTCACTGCTAGATGCAAAGTTTAGACTCTCACAAAACACTCCCCAGTACAGGGTGGAAAATTCCAGAAAGTTGGGGGTTTCTGAATAAAGCTGCCTAAAAACACCAAACCTACTGTAATTTTTGCCTAGACCTGACACTCAAGGGTTTTATATGCCAAATGAATATGTCTTTAGCCACTTTGGGTTTTAAATAGTAGCCAAAAGTTAAAATTTCCTTGGTCTCTAAATATGCTCTCGGCAATGTTACTAAGGGAGTCATTGAGTGACTTCTGTTCCCAAGGCTCTCATACGTTTGGTAGCAGTGTGTACCGTCTTAGCTGTGACACACTGTCTATCTCATTCACACCTCATATCCCAAAAATATCTCCCTTTAATGGCCCATATCATATAGATTTGTTTTTTAATATACTGTACGTATATTTATTTCTGCAAACTTTTAGTAAACTTATCAGATTTATTTTAGTAAAATAGTGCTACTGTATTTTAACTTAATTAAAGCCAATTTTATGGACTGAGAATGACTGCATCTGCAGGGGAGTACAGTATACTGTATATACAGTACAGTTTGTTTATTTACAATGTATTGTACGTGAAGAGAGGTGTTTGCATGAACAAATGCAGCTCTTGTGTCTGTCTGTGTGAGATGCATAGTTTAGATTATCTGGGAAAACTTTTCCTAGTGCAGAGTAGAATTTTTTTTTACTATAACCAAACCTTTAGATAAACTATTCAGAATTATTTGGGTAAAATTTTATTTTTATTTCTAACTTGATTAGAACTGATTTTATTGACTTCGGTATCAACATTTCTTATACTGTATATGTACTGTACAGGTATATTTTTTTATTAAAGAATGGAGTCCCCATCATTATAATCACATCCAAATACCTGTACAGTAATATCTGCTAGCCAGAAACCCCCAAACCCGAAACTCTCTAATAACCGGAATTGAAATTTTCTCGGAAAATCATTCCAAAAGCCGGATTTGTAAACGATTTTCCAAGGGGCTCATTTTCCAGAAAATTACGAGAAAATTTTACCGATACCTGGAAAATCCCAAGTGTGTTTTTTTTCCGGTTTGAGAGATGAAAATCAGGCGCATTTACCAGTACACGGAAAATTCAAGGGATTGGGGACATTTTTATGGGTTCGAGATGATGTAATGGGCAATTTCTGGAACTTACGAGAACATTTTTTTCCGTTACTCGGAACATTCCGGGGATGAGGGATTTTTCCGCTTTAGGAGAGTCGTCTCATTACCCAGAAATCTCTCATTCCCGGAAGTGCTCTGCACCAATTGCTCCGGTTAACGGAGATATCACTGTATTTTGTTTAAAGGCTATATTATTGGAACAGTCTTGTAGAGAATTTATCCAAGACCATTATGGTACCAAATTCACCTCTCTAACACTATTACAACAAATGTTGAAACTTTCCCCAGCACCCAGAAACATTCCGGGAATGTGCGATAATGTGCCTGTGCATGATGAGCAGTTTGGACTCTCAGAAACTTTTCCCAGTACCTGGAAAAATTCCAGGGGTGTGTGATTTTTGGGGGGTTTGAGAGCCATCTCGTTACCGGAAATCTCTCGGCCAACGGAAGAACTCTGCACCAATTGTTCCAGCTAGCTGTGTGTTTATGTGTGTGTGTGTGTGTGTGTGTGTGTGTGTGTGTGTGTGTGTGTGTGTGTGTGTGTGTGTGTGTGTGTGTGTTTTCTTAAGGATTATTAATAAACAAGCACTTTTAATGATGAATTTAAAAAATAGTATACAGAATATATATAAATAATTGTTAGACATCATGCAATGAGTCTCACCTGAGCATCATTCTGATTCCAACCATCTATAGTTGTAGGAGGATTAGGATGACTGGGGGCTGGAGTGGGATGAGGGGGAAAGCCTTGGATCGGCCCTCCTAGCGAAACCTGGCAAGAGGAAGAAACAACCATCTCTAAACAAACAGGGGACAAGTAATCTACACACATACATGTAATCAATGTTAAAGTTATCATATTAATATAAACTTAGATAAACACTCACCCACAAGGATATACTTACATTGCACATTCTTTCCAGCAATTCATACAGCAGGTAAGAACAAATTTAAATGCAAGTGTATACAGTAATTAAATTATAATTAAAAGAGCCATTAATAGTTCTTCAAATTAGAAATCATAAAATTATATACAGTACTTGTGTTATCGCCGCTGGCTTCATCTACACAGTGCTGGCATTTGCTGCCTTCAACACCTGCACTGAGTGCCTCCAAGCACCTCAACCGATGTGCAGTCTACGAGTGTCACCTTACCCTAAAAAACATAAATCTCTCAGCCTACGACCACATAGGCTGCAACCTCCCTTGCAGACTGTAGAGGTGTAGTGACTCCAATGTGGCCGCGCAACCTGTGACCTCGCCATATGTTTGTAAACGTCGCAGCCATAGAACAAGCGTTTCGGAGTGTCACCGCCCACGGGGAACCACGTGGACAGTGTTAATAAATTGTGAGAAATAGTCGAGTTATGAGAGTATTGAAGATGTAGGAGAGGGGAGTGGAGCGAGCTGAGGTGGTTTACAGCCAATCGGTCCTGGTTTCTGCTGAGTAGACAGATCTGCAGGTGGCGGTGACAGTCAGCCCTTCCCTAACTTTCAGACCACCCCTTACAGCTATAATGTGAACATCCCCACCCTCTGCTGGCAGTAGTGAACACACCAACTCACAATCCTGTCCCTGAGCAGCACTGTTGTCTCTTGGAACACCATACTAATTTACATCGACTCGCACTTGTAAGTACAGTCTACGTGATGACGTACCCCTCAGTACTGAAATATTATGGACTAATTATGCCTCCTCGTTTTCTGCCTTATCTGGAGCAATAGAAAAATGTGGAATGAAGTGCAACTAAGATTAATAGAGTTATGTACTTTGTATTATGTCACTATGTTTAATGACCTTATGTAGTTAAGATAAAATTGTGTGAGACTAACAAATTATGTATCAGATGGATCACCATGTAATACTAATGAACGCCTTGTTCTCTGCAGGTTATAGACCATATCAATAAACATTGAGTGTGTCGAAAGGCGGGTTTCAATCATTCCTTTCAACTTGCCCGTCACCAGACCGTCCTTAACCAAGACGGTTATAACTTGTTTTTCCAAAATACTGTACAGTAGTTGTCAGGATAAAACAGGTTGACAGTCATGAAAACTAACATTTGGGTGATCAAAAGTGCATGGAAAAATGGAGCAACTTTTCACGCTGTATTTTCAAGCATATCTAGAAAATTATCAATCAGACTCAGATGATATCACTTTAAATTAAAACACCAACCACACTCATTGGTGAAAGATGTGTATAATGTATATACAGTACAGCAGTTTTTTCCCAGTAAAAAATATTTGAGAACTGTACTAACATCACCATTATTTATCATTTATAATATCCTGTCAAAAGGCGAGTCTCTAACACAGGTTCATCTGAATGTTTGCCAAATGCCACCAGTGAATATGTGTATAATATATTCTCTCTCTCTGTCTAGTGGACAGTCACATCACAAATGAAGTGCTTTAGAGATAACACCCTATAATGGGAAAACTGCCATTGTATAATAGCAGTGAAGAAACATACACCAGTGTCTTAGCTGGCCCATCAGAATGTTTGCAGTATGGTATTCTGTATAGTTCTAAACTTTAACCTTAGGGGGTGGAGTAACCAATAACAAGTAGAGTAATGTACCATTAGCCAATGAAATACAATCTGGGTTGGAACAGGTGTAGCAATTGAGTCTTGACACACCTACCCGGTTATCCTAGCCTACTTCAAGGTGATGTCAGCTACACAAAGGGAGAAATCCAAATGCATGGACAGATTCAGAGCTTTAACTTGAGAGCAGAGTCAGCCATCCATTCCATCTCCCCTTGTGGAGGAAGAAAATACTTAACCATGTATGTGCAGTTTTGAAGTACTGTACACTATGTTGTAACAGATGTCCCAGTTTGATTCATACCAGTAATGATAATTCTTGTTCCTATGTGCCCCTCCAATTGTGTGTGTAATTCTCCCATATAACTATCTGCCCAGTGTTAAGTAATAGAAGATTGTAGCTAACCAGGAGAACCTAACTTGTATACCTATACATCCTCCCTATTATGTCTCCCCACCCAGGCAAACCTCCCCCTCTCCTGCTTTCTTTTACCTCAACCATTTCCTCCCTCCCCAGATGGTCAGTGCAGCCACCCTGCACTGGGCAGCTGCTACCTGCTCTATCACTCACTCCAACACTACCTCCCTCCCTCCCTCCCTCCCTCCAATAAATTCTCCATCACTGAAGACTATGTGATGTGAAGTGAAGTTCAGAAATGAAGCTGGAATAATATTACATGTATGGAGTAAGTAACAGGGTAGAGCATAAAAAAGTTACAGTACAGATATGAAGAAGAAAAAAGTTGACTGAAAGTAAGGATTTCATCTCAAAAACTATTAAAAAAAAACGAGTAACTTCTCTTGAACATCGGAAGGTTAGGTAAAATCTTTTGTTTTCGTCATGTATTTTATCCTATTTTACATTAAAATACATCACGTTTCAGCAAAACTACTATTTATTTCCGAGAATATATTCATTCAGGCAAAGTTAAGGTAAAATATACATGTGATGTAACAGTTTTTTAACTGAAAATGATTCGAAAAACACGTGTACCGTCTAGCTGATACAGCTAGTGGTGCGTGATGCGTCGTTGTAAACAATAGGAGGTTGAAGTAGATTACCGGGTATTATATTAAGTGTGAAATATCAAAAAGGTTTTTATTACTGGTATTTTTTGTAGATCAATGAGAAATGTGATACCGTATATGATATGATAAGTTAGCCTGTGCTAAGAACTTCAACATAGACTACTGAAAGCACGTAAGATAATTTAGCCTATTGTAAGTTGGTGAGCTTCATTTGCTGAAGGAACTGCACAACTTTTCATTACTAATTGGTACATATTTTACATTTCCATTGTTTACTGGCAGTAAATGGTAAATATTTTTCATGTCTGAAGCTAAAAGTTGCTCCTCGCCCTTCCCATCATGCACGGGTTCAACCTAACAAAACTATTACACATGTATAGGATGACCCCCAATTTTTTGCCTAAAAATTTGGTCTTAAAAACTCGCATTATACACGAGTATATACGGTATTTGTTTGTACTGGACACATTGATTTTTCTTTGTGATTTATTGTGTTTGCTTCTTACTGGGAAAAGTAAATTTCCAGGTATTTGTGTGATTTTATTTCAGTGCTTGTCTGTGTTGAGCTCTTCTCCCTTGTCTGATATTTACTTGAGTATCCCCTTAATTAATGTGATATGATCCTGATAGTGATATCTCCATTAGCCGGAAAAATTGGCACGGAGCACTTCCAGGAATGAGAGATTTCCAGGAAACAAAACGACTCTATCAGACCCGGAAAACAAATCCCTCAGCCCCGGAATTTTCCTGTTATGTACCGGGAAAATTTTCTTGGAAGTTCCAGAAATTGTGCGTTACATCATCTCTTGAATCCGAAAAGAAATTCCCCCATCCCCGGAATTTTTCTGGTTACCAAAATTTTCTCAGAATTTTCCAGAATTATGCATTACAAGTATTTCATCTCTAATAGCCAGGAAAAAATCCCCCATTGCCGGAATTCTCTGCAATTTCCCAGGTACCGGAATATTTTTCTCAGAATTTCCAGAAAATGCCCCTAATTTTCATTTCTCAAGCCCCAGGGAAACAATCCCCCTTCCCCAGAATTTTCCGGGAAATGTGGCCCTAGGAAAATAATTCCCAAAACCGGAATTTACCGGAAAATTCCGGCTTTGGGAGCGATTTTCTGATAAAAGTTCAATTCTGGCTTTTGGAGAGTTCTAGTTAAAGAGGGATTCTGGCTAACGGAGATATTATTGTATACAGTATATTTCTAAACTGTACTGTACAGTACTCTCACAAGATTGTTATTGTTGTTTCACTATGATATATAACTGAAAGTCATGATTTAATTTGAGATATTATTTTGCTAAATATGTTGTACAGATGAATTTTTGTTCTGATATACAGAAATGCATAACTGAAATTCATTTTACAGAATATCAGTGTGCCAAAAGGATGATTTTGTTAAATGATTTTTCATTTGATGAAGTATCAAAGTAATTTTTGAGATGACCCGCATGTTTTAGTTGTGTTAATGATGACTTTTAAAGAATTAATATAATATGACAAGACTGATTTTTCTTTTTATGAGCAATAATTTATTGGGGGAAGAATAATACCACACCAACAAAATTAGGGCACATAACTATGTTATTATGTCACATGGACACTTTTCAACAAGTATTGCCGAGATTTTACTATTCACAGGCATTCATAGTTGCTATCCAGATGTGGGTAAGATGAATTAGCACACGTTACTGCCCACTAGCTGTGACATCTACCATCTGTGCCAACAGATCTATGTCTCCCCAGCCCTGGTTAATATTATCCATAATGCCATCCCCATCCATGGTGGCTTCACCACTATCTTGGGTGATCCACCTCTAGCCTTCAGTCCACTTTGATGTCACTCCCAGCATGATGTCATTCTACAGAACTCAGTGCAATGCTACCCCAGCATGTTGTCCAATGCTGAACAGCGAGCCCCCTTGTGTCACATTGGTGTGACACCCAGTCAAGATTCTTCACGTTTGTGCTGTTTGTGAGCCGAGTTTGCAATTTGTAAAGCTGCCACTGTGTGTTGTTGACTTGTGAGGATCACTTGCTTCCTGAACTGATACAACTTTACCTTTATTCGAGTACAGTACCGTATGTCTAAACTGCCAGCGAGGTCCTGCATTTTGCAACAGTTGTGTTCCACTTGGAGGAAGAGTGGGGGGTCTGATGCTGTACTGGGAAGTGGGATTGTTCTG